TAACATACATTGGGCACCAAAGTAATATAAGGTGGTATACCTACACTTGGTATCGGAGCCTAGGGCTCGTGAAGGCGTAGGGGGCCGGTTTGAGAGTCGGTTTCAAGAAAAGTGTAGCCCTTCGTTGTGGGGCAGACGTCGCGGGAATCGAGTTTAGTTTAAGCGGGCTGTGGATTGTTTTTGAGTGCGTGTTGAAGCATCTCAACATCAACCCCAATTTTTCTTGATCGGGCTTGTTCTAAGGTAGAAAGAGACTAACTCAGGCACGGAATAAATAGACGGGAAGACGTCAAAACGGGTGGCTTTGATTCGGTTCGTTTTGCGAGTGACGAAAGACGATAAAAGTGGTTGTGACCTTGTCTTGTTGTTCGGTGGAAAAATGTTCTCGGAACAATTTTGATTAGGTCGGGGTTGTCAAAAAAGAGAGTAAGACGTTGATCGGTTGAAATCAAAAGGCAGAAAAAATCAAAGGGTTGCGTCTACATTAATCGGACAACAATGATTAGTGAGGAAGAAAGTTCGACTTGTTCGTGATAAGGGAATACCCACGTAGGTACGTGAAAAACGGACAGGAAGGATCTGTCAAAGCAGGTAGCTTTGGATTCAGTTCGTTCGGCATGATTGAAAGAAAACGATGAAGCAGGTAGCTTTGTTTTCTTGGTCGGTGGAGATGCATCTTTGAGCAAAGGTGATCAGAACAAAGGAAAAAGATTGGAGAAACAACATAGTGTGAACATTATGGCGATGGAAGTTCAAATCGGATGACTCTGGATCTGGCGGGGGAGAGGTCGTTAATCCGGGAAAAGTCTAGATGGTAATGAACGTATTCAATGGGATGTCATGTTACATGTTACTTGTGTTGTGAACAATCAAAAGGGTATGGAGGACTTTGGATGTGACCATGATGGAGGTCGTGTGTCTGGGAAAAGTCGGGATGATTTGGGAAGAAAGTGATTAAAAACTATTGTGAATGAGTGGTATAACTAAACCGATTAAGAGGATGATTGTTGGATTAATCAGTTAGTTAATAAGAAAAGTTTTATTATATTAGGATAACTTTGATTCTAGATATGTTGTTTTTCCAAGTTTTAGTATTAGAGGATGATTCTAGTTTTATTAATATAAATATGGTTAATATTTAGCTAGGATGTTTAAGTTAATTTTTTCCAACAATAAAGTTCAACAAATAATTCATCGTTCTTATTCTTTTCTTCTTCTTTATTCAGTTCACTAGGTGTGAGATTCATGTATTACATGAGTTTATTTAAAAGAAAAACTAAATCTAAAATTCTAAACATTTGAGAAGTATAAATTTATAAGAAAAGTGAGAAAATATTGAATTATAAAAATTAAAGTGTTTTTTTTTCTCATTTAAATTTAAACAAATAATTTAGATAAATAAATAAATAAAATTAATTAATATTTAATTTACTAATTTTGAAATTAGAATGAAAGTTCATTAATAAAATTGATATGTATTTATTGTTGCATTTAAACACTATCTAAAATTTAATAAAATGGAAAAACCATAAAATAACATGTGAAATAAAAATTAATTTAAAATAACCACAAAATTGCATGTGACAAAATAAATGAGAATGTGACATGTGGCAAAAAGATCTTTATTTATTAGGGATACCTTGGGCACCAAAGTAATATAAGGTGGTTTACCTACATCCACCAACATGCGCGTACGAATCATTTGAGTATTTGGAGTATTTTAATTTTGATTCATAATAACTTGATAAAAATTTGAGAGTACAGAAAAAAATGGATGTTTTCGTAGTACTGTGAAATCTTCCTATCTAATAAATGAATAGTTTTATTCTCCTTTTGACATGTGTCATCTTATTAGGGCTCTTAATTAATGCATATTTTATTCTCCTTTTGTCAAGTGTCACAATATTATATGTATCTCCTAATTAATGCATGTCATTGGTAACCTATTGATTTTTCATTTCAAATTTTAAATTTTAAATTTCTTACTCTAATTACATTAAATTAATAATATTAAAATAAACTGAATACAAATTATAAAGTGATATAATTTCACATATTTATTTAATAATTTTTAATTTTTATTTTAAAAGTTTAATTAATTGTATAATCATGGTTCTCACAGGTTATAAACTAGTATATATATATATATATAAATATGTTAGTATTCATAAGTAATCATTGTTTGTTTTTATTTTAAAGTATTAGTAATTTTTTCTTAAATATGTAACGTATACATCACAACAGTCAAAATAGTGCTCATTATTTCCTAGCCAATGAAAGTGTTCGTACCCATCCATGAATAGCCTTACACCACAAGACACATATGCATGTACGGGACGGTGTTCAATCATGGAATGAGTTGGAGACGTCGAATTCTACGTGTCTTCTTCAGGGTCGGTCCCAAGTCAGAGACCTTGTGCAATTTAACAAAAATTAGGCTCTAAAACTTAAAAGACCTAAAAATTTAAGCAAAACAATCATAAATTTTCATATTCTATTGCATAAATACATATTTTAAAATTTCATTCAAATTAATACAGAAAAATAATATTGCTTCTATTATCCTCCATCTCTTGAAACTAAGGTAGCAAAGAATAATACATTTGTCATCTACAAATAACTGTAAAAAAACATAAATCAAATTAGAAAGTTAAACTACATTATTAGAAAAAGAAAAACTTTGATTTGCTTCTAAAAAAAATTATAAGTCAATAACTTACCTTCTAAATTTTGATCTACTTCAAAAAAAATCTGAAATCAAAAACCTGTAAACTTCAAACATGAAATGAAAGTCAACGGATTCTTACTTTAATGCTTGTGAATTGTAGAAAATACGAATCATAAATAATGAAAAAATGTGATATTCTTATAAACAATATCATAATTGTAGAGATAGATAAAAATGTATAATAGCTTAATTTGAAATCAGAAACATGTAAACCTCAAAAAGGGATTAAAATGAACAAATTATTGCTTCAATCGTCAGAATTCGAGAAAATATGAATAAAAAATAATTAAAAAAAAATCTAATTTCCTTATAAAGAACGTCATAAACATATAGATAGATAAAAAAAAATAGTAATACCTTTTGATTTTTGCCCCTAGACCAAGTCCCAAATTCTCTGATTTTTTACCCTTAAAATCAACAAGAAAAAAAGAACATAACTCTGAAATCAGAAACAATGAATGAAACGAAATGGCAAAAAAATTTGAATTACTCCATACAAATCAGAAACTTATCATAAACGAAAAAATAGAAATTGATTTGCTTGTACCTTCAAAATCCAGAAATTGATTTCCTCAATTCCTTGTTCCTTTTGGGTTCTGATTTTCGAAATCGGTATCCTTGTTCCTCTGATTTTGGGAATTGATTACTGATTGGAGTATAGTCAACCTTCTAAAATCAAAAAAAGAAAAAATCAGAAATTAGAGATAAAAAACTAAACAGAAGAGAAAAAAGAAGTAACGACCCTAAAAAAACTGAAATACTTTAATCTTGCCTTCTGATTTCAAAATCTCAAACAGGTAAGAAACTTGAAGCTTCTAAATCGTTGCTTTAGAGTTTCGTGAAGAAAAAAGAGTTATGATTGTTGATTGCCTCTGAAACTGAAATCAACTGATGCGTTAAAAGAAGCAAAGAATAATACAATTTGTTGTTGCCTGTCAAGAAAAATTTAATTCATGCCACAGAAATCGAAGCGTTTCCTTTCTTTTTCAAAAATTTCAGTTTTTCTTGCTCACTCTTTCGACTGATACATGTATAAAAAATTAATCTAATTTATTTTGGGTCGTTCACTGAATATAAGCTATTGTAAATGCTAAAAAAAATTGGACCCTATAATTTCTTTGGCCCTGATCATAGGCACTTTTTGAACTCTCTATGGGTCGGCCCTGGTCTTCTTAGTTCTTCCCATAAGGCTAGAGGGTATGAGTGAGGGAAAGAGTGACGAAATCTTTCCCTCTCAGCTGAACATCATCCTTTGACTAAGGGAAATGTGGTGAGGGAGTTCATTCCCTCACTCTCTCTCCTATTCTTATTGGTAAATTTTTTTTAATCTTTTTTAATATTTATTAAATTATATAGCTACTAAAATTATATATATATATATATATATATATATATATATATATATATATATATATATATATATATATATCAAATCTTATCGTTTTTAATTCTCTACGAAATGAATATAATATTTATAAGAATTAGATTTTTCTTTTTAAATAAAAAAATAATAAGAAAAGTTGTCAACGCATTCCTTGAGTTTCTCCCTTTTAACCGGTTTGGCATAAAGTATAAGCAAGAGCTTGGCCGGGACCCACTAAAGTGACTAAAGATAGAACAAGAAAACGAGAAAAAAAAATTAAAGAAACTAAGGGAAAATGATTTAAAAGCCCAACGAAATTTTCAAACCATTTAAAAAACCCCAATTATGTTTTGTCTGTTCAAAAAAACCCAACGAACTTAACATTTTTTCTAAAAAGTCCAACAAAGTTCTAAACCGTTCAGAAAATTCCAATTTTGTTTTGTTTAAGTTCGTTGGGTTTTTTTTGAACAGTCAAAACATGATTGAAGTTTTTTAAACGTTTTGGAAACTTCGTTGGTCTAATAAGTCATTTTATCGATACGGTAATAAGCCATGTCATTTGTTTCTCTTATTTGACTTTAAGAAAAGTGTAACTTAATTGGGTTTTTTAGACAAAATGTTAAGTTTGTTGGGTTTTTTTGAACAGACAAAACATGATTTGGGTTTTTTGAACAGTTTGGAAACTTCGTTGGGCTTTTAAGTCATTTTCCCAAGAAACTAAGGGAGTTTAAAGTTTATTGGATACAAAGTATGTATGACTTATTATTTATTTTTTAACACACTGAAGCACTCAGGATCAGTAGAATTACAAGTATACAACTTTACAAGATCAAAATTACCAAAAAAAAAAAAAGAAAGAAAGAAAGAAAAGAAAAGAAGAAGAATACAAATAAATTCAAAGGCTTCAATTCACATAATTCGGCAACACCCATCTGGCCGATGATCATGGCTATGATCAGTTGCAGAGTATCCATAATAAAACTCAGGTGGATAACCATAAACCTCTTCTTCTTCCGTTGATATCAGTGGTGCCGATGGCTCCACGACTGGCCATGGTGGCGCTCGTGGTGTTGGTCGTCGAGGTGCATGCTCAACATCGACATCACCGTAGCTTGAAATATTGCGACGGGGTTCGACCCTAACAACCGGTGGGTTCTCACGGTGGATGAAGTTGACTCTTAACGTATCCGAACGTGTGATCTCCACACCATCCAAAACCTGGAACATGCCGAGCATAGCTTCACCTAAACCTTGAAGATCAAAAGTACGCTGTGAAGGTACTGTAGCAGATACAGTAGAACTAGGGTTTTGATTTATAGAGACGATGACAACTGATTTCTTCATTTGGCGTTCAAGAGCGTACCGAATAACTTCAGGATGGTGTTCAGCAATCGAGACTACTGTCACAATCCCACTTTCCCGGCCTAAATTTACCAATTGGAGACCATGAAATCTGCGCAGTGCGTTTCTGACCTTTCTTGTACAACCGTCGCAGTTATGAAACCGAACGATCCTGAAACTAAAAACAGTTGTCATTGCAGTCGTCCGTGGATGATCCAGATTTTTTTGTGGCTGCTGAAATAATATAACTGTACGATCGAATCTTATATAAAATGTGAGTTAAGTTGATATTATTTTCAAACTAAAGATAATTAATTATCTAGAAGTTAGGACATATGTTCCTAAGAAATTACCTACGGATTACAGGTTCGTCAACATTTGAAAAACAGTTTCTTCAATTGGCCGTCTAAAGGAAATCCTTCCTTCTTCGAGCTGACGTTGTCGTTGTTGTTGTGTTTGCAGTTCAATTTCCTGGGCGTGTAACGTGTTTCGATTAACAAAATAATAATATCACGGCTTACTTCTGATAATTTTTAATTGTATAGCTTAATATAAAAAGAAGTTTATTAATAGTATGCATGCGTTGTTAGAATCTTTTGGATATCCTAATAAGTTCATATAGCTTAATTTAAAGTGCAAGGAAAATTCATCTATTGGACAGCTAACAACATAATAAATTAAATATAAAATAGATATAGTGATTGTTGTATTTATAAGCTTTAATTAGTTATATTTCTATATGTAATAATTAATAAAACATGACGGACATCCAATTTTAAGGTTAACTGTCTGAGTATAAGTACTAATATTAACGATGTAATGGCTTAAATTATGCAATTGTTTTTTTTATGAAAAATTAAAGATCTTTCTATATTTTTTTTCTTCTATTTATCATTCTACTCATATTGAACGGGTGAACATCCCTTGTATATAAAAGGGTGATGTTATACGTAGAGAATATGCTACTTGTATGTAAAGGGTGTCCATGGAAACATCTTGGTTTGTAATTTTTGTTAGAAAATATGTAAAAGAAGTTATAAGAACACCCTTTAGGCCTTTAAATTTTAGGATGACACCATTATAATTTTAAATTTTAAACAAAACACTACAAGAAAATCACTCTTTAGCGACGACGCTATTACCGACGATAGGGACCTTTAGCGGCGACTCTAGAGAGTGTTACCGCTAAAAGCCCCTGTCGCCGGTAATAGCGTCGCCGCTAAAGGGTGATCACCCGAATCCGCGTCTTCCCCTTCCGTTACATCTACACCGTTCGATCAAATATCCAATCAAACGGTTAGGGTACTCTTATCCGAACTAACCTAATACCGGTGACGTATATGTCGCCGCTAAAGGTTGAAAATGTCGCCGCTAATAATACACTAAAAGATGATGCGGTACCCTTCCCTCCAGATTGTTGCCGTTATTAATAAGAGTCGTCGGTAATAATCTAATTGTCGCCGCTAAAGGCTGACGCATATTAAAAAAAAAATCGCACGCAGAACTTCATTCTTCTTACTTGCTTTCTATTTGTTGCCTTTTCTCCTTCGCCCCTTACACATTCTACCGAGTTCATCTTCAATTTGCTTCTTCCATCTTGATTTCTCCATATATTGTGTCATATTAAGGGTATTAGGGATTAATGTGTGATTTAGGACCAATTTCTAAGTGGAGTTCTTGAAGAAATTAAGGTAATTTGATTTGAATATTTCTTTGATAATTTCCTTGTTAATTTGTTTGTTAACACTGAAAAAGTGTTGATTAAATTTCTAAGTTTTGGTAATTTAATTTGTATGTTACCCTTGCAAATATTGTTGAAGTGATTTGTGACATTTTGGATGGCTCACAGGTTTTGGATTTGTAGTTTCATCAGGTGAATAATAGTTTTTCCAGCTATTACCGGTTGATTTCTGCCACTACAGGTTCTATTATTTCATTTTTTTGTGAATTTGGTATTTGTATGTGAAAATTGTGTGTATATTTGATAATTGATGTATGTGGTATATGACTATTTGGTAGAAATATATATATATATATATATATATATATATATATATATATATATATATATGATGTTATTATCTAAATATATGTGAAATTATATGCATTTGTTATAAATATGATGTTATTGTGTGTATGTGAATGTATGTATGTTTGTTGTAATGTGGTATATGATTGTGAAATTTTTGTATTTGGTATAATTAGGATGTTATTATCTATATATGTGAAATTATGTGTATCTGGTTTAAGTAGGATCACCCGAACCCGCGTCTTCCCCATCCGTTACATCTACACCATTCGATCAAATATCTAATCAAACGGTTAGGGTACCCTTATCCGAACTAACCTAATACCGGCGACATATATGTCGCCGCTAATAATGCACTAAAAAATGACGCGGTACCCTTCCCTCCAGATTCTCGCCGCTGTTAATAAGAGTCGCCGGTAATAACCTAATTATCGCCGCTAAAGGCTGACGCAGATAAAAAAAAACGCACGCAGAACTTCATTCTTCTTACTTGCTTTCTGTTTGTTGCCTTTTCTCCTTCGCCCCTTACACATTCTATCGAGTTCATCTTCAATTTGCTTCTTCCATCTTGATTTCTCCAGATATTGTGTCATATTAAGGGTATTAGGGATTAAGGTGTGATTTAGGACCAATTTCTAAGTGGAGTTCTTGAAGAAATTAATGTAATTTGATTTGAAAATTTCTTTGATAATTTCCTTGTTAATTTGTTTGTTAACATTGAAAAAGTGTTGATTAAATTTCTAAGTTTTGGTAATTTAATTTGTATGTTACCCTTGCAAATATTGTTGAAGTGATTTGTGACATTTTGGATGGCTCCCAGGTTTTGGATTTGTAGTTTCATCGTGTGAATAATAGTTTTTCCAGCTATTACCGGTTGATTTCTGCCACTACAGGTTCTATTATTTCATTTTTTTTTTGTGAATTTGGCATTTGTATGTGAAAATTATGTGAAAATTGCCATATGTGAAAATTGTGTGTATATTTGATATTTGATGTATGTGGTATATGAGTATTTAGTAGAAATATATATATATATATATATATATATATATATATATATATATATATATATATATATGATGTTATTATCTAAATATATGTGAAATTATATGTATTTGTTATAAGTAGGATGTTATTGTGTGTATGTGAATGTATGTATGTTTGTTATAAATGTGGTATATGATTGTGAAATTTTTGTATTTGGTATAATTAGGATGTTATTATCTATATATGTGAAATTATGCGTATTTGGTTTAAGTATGATGCTATTTTATGTGTATGTGAATGTATTTGTATTTTGTGTATATGTGGTATATGTAAAAGTATGTGAATTTCATGTTCTTATGTATTATGTAAAAGTATGTGGTATATGTATGTATGTAGGATGATAGAATTGAAAAAAAAAAATTATTGTTATAATTGAAAAAAAAAACATAAAAAAAAAACACAAAAAATGTTATAAAATTGTTAGGGTACTATATATATATAGGGTTAGGTTATTTTGTGTTTACTAACTATTGTGTGCCAGAATGCACAGATCTGGACCATCGGATGGAATATAATCAAAGGTCATGATCTGAGGGTCTATGATAATAGAATATGATAGCATGTACCATATAATCACACAAATTTCAACATAAGGGCATTTTAGTCAATTAACCTATATTAAAAAAGGAAATTTTCGGATTTTTAGGGATGATTAATTCCTTTATTTTTTAAAAATTTGAATATTTTAAATTAATTCAAATTTAAAAATCCGATTTCATTCTGTCAGAATGATAGAATGCGAACCATAAACTAGTAAATATATTTTTCGATTTTATTCTGTCAGAATGGCAGAATGCCAAACATAAACTAGTAAATACATTATGAAAAAATACACAAATCAATTCTTGAACTAATAATATAACAAAAATTACATTGTATGATTGTGATTCATTGAATAATAACAACATTCTGAAAGAAAAAATTAAAAAAAAAAAACATCAAAATCTAACAAAAACACTAATCTATTATGAAAGAATATTATTTTTAAGCAATGCTTTATATATTGTAGCATAACACATTCTGGTATAATATACTCTCGTTCTATATGTTTTCTTCCTTTTCCACATCAATGTTAGCCTCTTCAAAACCTAAATCCAAAAAGAAAAGATAATCAATTTTCAAAAATTAAACAATTCAACGCATTATAATAGAATACATGAATAAATATTCTTACAGAATAAACTATTCTTGCAGAATGGTTTCGAATATTCTTAAAGAATAAAGTATTCTTGCATAATGGTTTTGAATAAACTAAGTCATGATGTATTCAAATCCAGAAGAAACTTAAAATGCTAGTAATCTTAGCCCTAAAACTGATGAATTTTATATGGATTTAACTATGTAGTTGAACTAAATGAGATCCATTAACTGAAGTTACTAAATTGCAGTAGATAGTTGAAAACTAATAAGATGCTTCAAGAATTTAAACACACACCATCGGCATCGCGGGGAGGTCCAGAAGCGCCTGAGATCTTGCCTTGTGTTCCAAATGGGGGAAAGGTTTGGAGAGTTGAATCTGCAACAACCAACAACCAAATTACTTAATGCTTACAATATAAACCAGCTACCAATGAATAAATTAGGGTTCAGATCTAGTATCGAAGTGATGAAAACGCGATTGAAGAAGAGGAGAAGAAGTTTTACAGGAACAGATCCATAAACATTCTGGTTGTCAATGGCTGTGTAATTTCCGGACATCATCTTGAATTCCCCTGTATCAAAAGTATGGTATCGATCCGGAGAGTATTTCTTCTTTGTTTATGGATCTCTTGTCGGGTCTGAGCTCCCATACCCTAACCCTAACCCGTCTTCTCTCTAGCCGCCACCATCAATTCGGAGTTTACCCAGCCGCCATCTTCACCCCTCTTACTTCTTCCACCGCTATCAGCCTTTTGCCTCCACCACCGGTGTTGCGAAGCTGCTGTTGAAGACGTGAACCGCCACCCCCTCCACACTCGTGTTTCGACCATCAAGGCCACCGACGGCCTCTTGAGGCTCTGTCGACACTGTTTCGATTTTCCTTCTTCTCCTGTTTCCTCTCCGCAGCAAGAAACCGGCATTCGCTGCTTGCCGCCTCGGAGTTTGATTAGCTCGTGGTGTTTCTGTTATCACGAATAGA